AAAAAAAAAAAAAAAAAAAAAAAGAACAGCTCTAAGAGTAGACATTTAGTAGTACACGCAGCAGGTCCTTCGTACTTGCTGACTCCTTTATTTTTGACTTGTTATGAAACACTAAAGGAAAAGGAATACTACCATTATCCAATCCTAACAAATAAACTACAGATTCGTTTCTGTGATACTAAAATTCTAAGACAATATAGAAGCATACACAGTAGTTGAAGAACTACAGAGATTGTATTAGATAATTCATTTTAAGTCATATGATTCTGATTTTCTACCTACATTTTATTTGTTTGCTTCCGTTAAAAATGGACTAGTCTTGCTTTTGAAACAGGCATCTTTTACACTAAAATGATATCTGATCATAGATGGAATCATAAGAATGTATGTTTATCCTGAAGCTCACCCTAGTTTCTTTGCTGAGATAATTATATTATACAGAAAAAAATTATAATTCGTTGCATATTGGAAGCATCTAGTCACAGCGTTCTCTGCTTCCCTGTCTGTCCCTGTGATCAGGTTCTCACCTGATCCCGGCTACCATAAACTTCTGATCTGCAGCATTCCTTGTTTCCTAAGCACGATAAATGCATTTGTTCACATACCTGGTCCTCCTTTCTTTGTTTTTTCCTTCCATCTGATGGCTTTAAAAATAAATAGATGCTATCTTTTGAGCTTACTCCTGAAGGGGAAATATGAAGTGGTAAATTTTCTCACCTACTATTGAACGTGTTCCAGATCCCAGCCCAAGTCTGAGTTAATACGTTTTTTGCAAAATGATGTCAAGCATCTTAATTTCCCTCTTTTAAAAGGGTAATAAGTTGTAGGGATTAAATGGTCCATGTTAGAGTGTAGCTTGTTATTACCTTGCTGCGATACTCAACTCAGTGTTTTCAGTTGTGAGATCAGATTCCCAGGCGGAAGAGTTGGTGTCTGGTGAAAAGTTTTAACGATCTGGCCTAGGGGTGTTTCACGGTTTTACTAGTGTACTTAGGTACTCGTGCTTTACAAGAGGGGTGGAGTGTCTGGGTTGAAGAGTACACTTTGCAGCTTCTAGAAAATTAGCCCACAGATGAAATTCCCATCATAGTCCTTCGTAAGGCAATTCTCTTGTTTGTCTGGAACTGCTCATAGATATTAACCCAGATGCAGTGACTTAAGGAAATACGTAAGTTAGGTGTAAGGGTAACTAGGTACTTTAATAGCTAAGGTATAGCGAGCTAAGGGCACTCCTCAAGATTTAATAGTTTATTTGTGGCATGTAATTAAAACATGACTCTATCATTAAAAGATATTGGCTGGGCTTGGGTGGATTCTGATTAGCACTTCTGGAAGGAACATCCTGAGAGAAGGCATAGTCCAATACCATAAAAGACTAACACAAGTTGCATCCGGAATGATAGAATCATCATATTTCAGAGTTGTAAACACTCATTAAATTCTACTTGCTTAATTTACTGGTAACAAACTGAGCCCCAGAGAGAAAAGTTGTTGCTGTCTTGATTGTGCAATTATTTAGTGACAAAGCCAGAGTTAGAAAATGTTTTCCTTAGGCCAAGACCAGTCCCCTGTATAACCAGGTGCCACACCTCTTCTCCTCTGCCATATGCCCATCTAGGTGGCAGTGATGAACCACACTGCACCTCCAGTCCACACAAACCTGTCTCATCAGCCACTAGGCAGACCCACAAATGGCCTTTGTCTAGACAGAGGGGAGGACTAGTCACCTGAAACAATTGATTCTTTATTGCAAACAAGTAGATATGAAAAACACTGCTAAATTTCCTTTTGGTTACACTTCCCTTCCCAGGACAGCACAACAATGTCTGAGAGTGGTCTCTGAGATCCAACACAGACTCACAGGATCATATGTAAGAGCCTCCTTCCCTGATAGCCCCAAACTTATTTTGTAGCAATCCTGGACTCTGCCTTTAACAGCTTACAATAGGAATGTGTTGCATTGACATTTCAACAGTTCCTTACACAGAACTAAAGGAAAACGTGTGCAAAATTTCATGCACAGAGTAAAGCTATTAAACATGGTAAACAGGTGTGGAAACGATGTAGCAAAGGTTTACAGTCACTGGACAAAACCCAACCTCAGGTTTTGAGACTGAAGTTGAGATCTGCTTATGCTCTTGGTTAGCATAGAACATTGACTTAACATTGCAACCATAAAAATATGATTGGGCACTAACTTTAGCTTAGAGAAGAAGGATTTGGGCTGATTTGGGGTCTTGTGTAACCGCTACTACATAGAATCTTCATTTCTCTGCCTGCTTCCTGCAGTTATTTCTACCAGCAATTGTGTACGTGAGCTTTTCTGCCTTTGCATGAGTGTAGTTGAGCCTTGAACAACTGTGGTGGAGCTGGATGCTCTGTGCATGCAGGTTGCTAAGGAGCTTTTAGTGCTAATGAGTTTATGTTTTCAATGGAATGAGCTAAGACAGCAGCCTTGAATACCACAGCTTCTGTGACATGGAGCTGTCGTACCAGTTGACTCAGATACCTGTGCTTTCATATTATGTTTCCATTGATATTTTATGACACAACTGTATTTTACCTGAAAGCAAAGAGAAATGTATCTGTTCCATGCCTCAGGCCACATCATATTGTTGTACTTAAAATCTCCACTACATACATTTCTGGGGTCGGGGGAAGAAAAAGGATTCTGGTCAAGTTCAATCTTTTTAACAATGATTTTCTCAGTTACATAGATAATATAATTATTAAGATTATTCTCCCCAAATAATGATAAATGTTTATCTTCCTATATAGTTCAACTAGCACTTCTGGATATATGTCCAGGTTGAAGAGTCACCGCGAAAAGAGGAAATACATGTGTGTGTTACTTAAGTCTACATATTCATCGCAATGTTGGCATAGCTACACCTCTATCTTCAGAGAATCCGTTAGTTTTAGAGGGATTTCAAATTTACCTATGGATCACATTAATAAGCTTGTAGAAGATAGGATTCTGAGGGTCAGATGACAACTGGGGCAGTGTGACATTTATTAGTCTCCAATTCAAGATCCTTTATGAATTATTGGGTGCCTCGGTTATGATTCTCATGCTGGATAGGAAAAGGAAAGCTTCTGTAAAAGGCTTAAACAACCCTCTTCTCCTTTCTTCCCTGCCTATTCTTTCCCTTCCTCTTTCTGTTTCCTTCCCACATTCCTCTCCCTCTGCCCCTGCTTCCTCCCTTCTTTGGCCCCTCCCCCCGTTACTTCTTTCTCTCTCTCTCCCACATTGTTTTTACTGAAGGTTACGAAACAAGCTGGATGTTCCAAGCCAGAATGTAGCTCTATTGATTCAAGATAGGCCCTTTTCCTTGAAAATGTATTTATTTTTGTCCTAGACTATTTCCCTCAAATACATATAAGATCAGAAGTACAATGACCAAATTCTGTAAGGCTTCCCTTGAAACATTTGACTTTTATTTTGAATCCAATTTTTAAAATTTTCCCTCCAAAGACATCACCCCTATTGAACCTGTCTGTTTACTGCTGTCCCCTCTGTGTTGCAGAATGCAAATTCATATGAGATTCAGTCCCTTAGGGTAATGGCCTCACCTTGAGCAGAAGACTTACTGGGATTAGCCTTTTCCTCCATGTTTCTTCATTTTAGGGCATCAAATGCAGTGTAAATGCCACTATATGATTTTGGAGTATCTGTATTGGGAGAGTTACAATAACTTACTGGGTTTACCGTAAAGTAGCTCCCCTCATACACTTATTTCATCTCCTTTTTCCCCCCACAACATTAGACTAAGAAAAGGGATATTACTGCATTCTACCAAATAAATATTTGCAGATATCAAGTTCATTTCACGTATCAAGTATGATAGCCTCAATAGAAAAAGATAAGACAGAATGGAATACTTTCATCTGATTTGCTTTACACCATGAACTCTTTAGATAAACATATTCTGGCTGTGTTCCATAGAAAATATCTCTATTAATGATATAAATATCAGTGCTCACATAATCATCTCTTCAGTGATAAGCTGTGCCACCGATTGTAAGATCACTCTTTTGGGGATTTGAGGAATGATTCCTTGTTATTATCTGGATTTGCTTTTTTTGTTTTTTTTTGAGACAAGTTCTCACTATATAATTCAGGCTGGCCTTGAACTCACTATATAGCCCCGGCTGGCCTTGAATTCACTATAATTCTCTTGCTTGGGCCTCTGAGTGCTGGGCAAAAGGTGTGGGCCACCACACCTGGAAATTAATTGGATTTTGAACATTCTGAAGTGGAAAGAAATCACAGGCAAAGAACAAATATAATACATTTGTTGTTAGCAGAGGCCAAATTGTAGAATTAGATCTGTTAAAATAAATGACCTTACTAACAACAAAGTTTAGAATGACAGATTTACCAATATATGGGTTGAATGAGTCCAAGAACTCTTTCCCAGGTTGGAGAGTACTGTGCATCCCTTGGGCAGTTTGCACATGAAGAAATTCATGCTTCTAAGAAGGAATTCCTGGAGATAAAAGGCCAATCATAAAAGTTAATTCCCTTCACCGGAGGCTGAGTGAGTAAAGGGTTAGAGAGAGAGGCCAAAAGGTATTTAGGGTACAAACACTTTTCACAGGAACCATAGTGAGTGCTAATCTGCAGGATTAGAAAATGGGAGTCGAGTTTGAGGCTGTAGCTTTTCAACTAACTGTATCTATTGTCTGCAATCCCAGCTCTGAATCCTATCATCTGCATAACCAAAGTCTGTGAAGCTGGTAAGTTTTTGCTCTCCTTATTTTATTTATTATTTATTTATTTATTTATTTTGAGACAGGGTCTCACTATGTAGTTGAGACTGACCTGGAACTCACTATGTAGCCCAGGCTGGTCTCGAACTCACAGCAATCTTCCTGCCTCAGTCGCCCAAGTGCTTGGATTATAGGTGTGTGCCAAATTCTCATTTTTTAACATCACAAAATCACTACCATTTGCTGAGCACTGTTCTCATGTGTCACAATGTTCTACACATTATTTCTTTTTTTCTTAGAAAATTCCTCACTTTATAAAGACCTAGTACATTAAGAGACAGCTTAAACTGTACAACCTGCAAGTGTCAGGATTATAACTTGATCACTTTGAGACACTTCTGATATGTGAATCATGGTGTCAAAATGCAATATGTAAACCAGGCAGCACCGTTTGATACTTCTTTGAGTCTGAGACAAAAACTTGTTCTCAAATTTACTCGATTTACATTGTAATCAATTCTCATACTGCAAAACAGATCCAACATGTTGCCCAGTTAAAGAGAAAAGAACTCAGAACTATTACTTATTGGAAATGACTGAGGAAAGCTGAGAGTTGATAAGAAGGACCAGAACTGGTATTAGTGTAATTTTTAATTTCATATTTGCAGTGCTCACATGCAAGGTGAAAATGACTCATACTAAGGACTCATAATCAAGGTAATGCTCATTATTTTATCATAAATATTTCTTGAAAGAAAGGACTCTGAACCTAAAATATTTATTCTCTCTTTCTTGAAAATAATTTTAGATTTATAGTCTTTATTCTTTCAAGAAACTTGAATATAATTCCTGATGTTAAATTTCAGAGTGTTAAGTGTAAAATAATAGATAAAATATTTTTGATTTTTTAAAAAAATGCATTATACAATTTTTTCTTTAACTATGTGAGACCCTGGAGTGGGAAAAGTCAACAGTAATATCATCTATAGCTTTCTGGACTCTGGAGGGAAAGGCAAAAAAAAAAAACAAGTGATAGCTGAGATTCCCCTCTCTTCTCATCTATCAGTGACCTGAGTAGAGCTCCACAGGTTGATGATGTGTGAAGTCCCAACTAGCAGTAAGATTAAACTAATAGACAAGAAAAGGGCAAACACAATGTGCAGATGAAGACCAAGAATAGTTTTATCAGCTATGAGACAATATATATCTGATGAAAGATTTGCTTGGCTTCTGATATCCCTTTAAAGTAATCGAGGAACCATGATTGGAGCAGGCTGTGGTGTAAGAAAAAATTCTAGTGTAGGCCATGAAGTTCTGGGGTTTTGAATAAATACAGAATCACGTGATCTTGGAGTATCACCAGCTGGATGATCAAGGGAGCACACATCAAGGGTCCCTAGAACCTGGCATCTGTTTTCCATTAACCGACCCACATGGAGCACACTCCCTGTGTGAGGAGAAATTTGAGAGGCTTCACTTCGTGCAGAACTCTAGGTAAATGACACCTTTAAGAAACCAGTGGAATAAAAAATGTTCCAAAACCTATTAACATTTACATCAGTTTATAAAATTACAGATTTACTATACTCATCAAAAAATATAGTATGAAAAAGACTTCAGAAAGATGATGGTCAAGACAACGGGTAGAAACAAGAAAGTTATGCAAGTACATAAAGGCTCTGATAGCTTGCCAAATATCTTATCATTGTCAAGCCTTTGAACTCTGTTATACTGTTAATCATCCAGACACAAACTGTCAAGCTTATAAATTAAAACAAACTTTAATCATTTAGTAAGTATATTGTGTGCTACATAAATCTTATGGTAGAGTCCTGTGTGATTTGTAGCACTTAGGGGAATAGTTATATAAACAGTCCTTTTATTTTACTTCTTTCTCTGCTCTGAATAAAAGAGAGTAGAAAAAGCATAAGGAAGATTTGGATTTTTATGATGTATATTTGGATTTGTAAAATTTCTACAACTGTGGAAAGTAATATTTTAAATCTAAGACAAGATTTTTTTCTTACAAAATGACCCATGCACAGTTGCATTTTATTTGGAAGGCAGGGGGTATTATTTGGACAGTAAAATTCAAGGGAAGAAATTTTATTTGTGCAATTTTAAGCAGAAATTATAAAAGAGCCCAGCTGAATCCACACACAATTTCCCACCTCATTTAGGGACATGTGTGTTATTTGTTCAGCGAATTATTTGCTGCATTGTGTTTGTTTATAAAAGAACTGGGTTGTAAGAGCAGAGTTCTCATATGCCTCCTCCCCACTTTTTTTTTTCTTTTTATTGAGTTTATTGGTACAATCTAGGTATACAATACAGTTACATTCATTATTGGGATCCTGTACCTTTACATAATAGGTCTTGATTCTCATTTTTCCCCTTGTCCCTGCCCTCCCTTCACCCCTCCTCCCCTCCCCATTTACAAACACTTTATTTCTATTTTTTCAGTTTCTCGTATTTTTTTCCTCTCCCTTATTACCTTTTCCCCACCTTCCTACTTTCCCTACTCTTTTAGCCCTTTACTTCCTATGTCACATTATTAATTATCTCATTAGGATCCTGTGTACTATTATAGTTTTTCGCACCAAAGAAACTATTCGGTATTTCAGTTAAAGAAATCTCTGTATGAACATTTAAAATGGAGAATCCTAAAATAAAACTAAAAAGAAAGTAAAAGAGAAAAGGCAATGCTATAACATTAAAATAATCCTTAATTCTGGAGATGAAAATGGTCCCTGAACATATTTAAATTGCTTCTTGCTCTTATAGTCTTATCTTATTCTTTTTTTCATTATTTAGAGAAAACTTTATTAGTTTCTGTAATCAAACCCACGTAGATATGACCTTACATATTTAGTACGATGTGTTACCCCTGTACACATGGAAAAAAAATAGAAAAATAAAAAAATTAGCATGTCTAGACCAATACGGCTGTCCATTTCTGTACAATGCCAACTCAACACAGTTATTGGGATGACTTTTTCCAAAGTTGGCAGCACCGTTAAAATTTCCCAAAATTCAATTTATATATATCTCCCCACCTTTTAAAATTAATTTGTCTTCATGATATATTTGATTATTATGCAATTTTGATTTTATTATGATCATATTTATAAATATTTTATTTCATAAGTGGCTTCCTTGGTTTTATTTTAGAAAATATTTCTCAGGTAAGGTCTTTAATGTCCAGTGTTTTCTAGCCATTTTTTTTCCAGTGGTGATTTTGCATTTGATTTCCTCTGGGCAAACTTAACTACATCTCTAGTCAAATTCACCTGGCCCCCTAACTGCCATTTTCCATCATCGAGTGCCCAGACTCACTCACTTCAAAGCCATGCCTTCCATGAAGTAGCCTCTCTCGCTTTTAGTTTCTCTTTTCATTATTATATATCTGTGATACACAACAATTATGTTCATCATGGAGAATGGGAACATGCGCATATTACATCTTTATCACTTTTAGAAAAGTGCTCTTTCTCTTTCCGCTATCCTGTCTCCCCCATCCCAATGTCCCCTTCCCATTTCCACAAACTCTATCTCTGTTTCTCATCATCTATATTTAAAGATTTTATCCTTTAAATTATTTACTTAGCATTATGGTCTGAAGAGTCATCCATTTACCTATAAATGACTCAAATTATCTTTTTTTGGTACCACTGAGTAGTACTCCATTCTGTATGTATGTTAATTTTTTTATCCACTTTTCTGTTTCAGGCCTATATATCAATTCAAAGATTTAGCTATTATGGAATGTACAGCTATAAACATCCACTGAATATTCTCTTTTTCCTCTAATTAAAATTAATCTTTCCTTAAGTTTTTATATTATTCTTAAAATGGTCAAGGAAGTACGGTGCCTGTTTCATTATACCACCTTTTGAATAGTTATTGAGAGCAGGTTCTATAAATCCTAATATCCCCAAAGAGTTCCACTCAGTGTATGAGGAAAGAAGCCTATCATTAGAGTTTGTACAGATAAAAAAAATATGTATGTTTAATTAGAATGAGTACTGAATATTCAACCAAGACACACACTGATTATTTCCAAATACTTAAGCACCTATCCTATGTTACAGAATGAAACTAATTCTAGATAGTCAATCGATGGTTTATGAAGATTATTATATTTCTCTTGACATAAAAAAGAATTTTTCAGGAAACAGAATCCTCTGACAGGTGGAAAGAGCTTATAAAGGAATGATTCCATTGTCCCCACATATGTAAGATTAATAAAATGCTAGCTCCATATGTATGCTGTTTTAATTTTACCTACTGACTGTTGTGTATTGTTTATTTTTGTTTTGTGTTGCTCAGCATCAAACCCAAGGACTCTCAGATACAAAGCAAGCATTCACACCTCTATTCCCAGGACTTGACTGTTGATATTGTCAACCTTTCCTCCTATTCTAATCTCCAGTTACACCAGTCTCCAGACTTTTTTGACTTTAGCATGACTTACTTTTACCTACAAAAATACTTGGAATATCTTCAATTTTATTTTTACCAGCAAGATATATAGTTTTGTTTTCATTCTTTTGGTGAGTAATTTATAGGTGTTAAATCATTTGTCAAGGGGTTCCTTATTAAAGCTATTCGACTTCCCAAATTTCATCTATAATTAATTTACTAATGCACACATTTTCTAAGAAACATGTATAAAAGTATGTACTTTGTATTAAATTGGTTTATCTTGTAAACATTTTCCCCAAATTTCCTGTGTCAAAATCAATCAGAAGCACTCTATGGCAGATGCATTTAATATGCTAAAACAGAGAACAACAACAATATAAATCAGAAAACCTGGGCTTCATATTGTACTTCTTCATATTTTTCACTTAGACTATAAATTAAATGGAAAGAAACTAGCATTTTGACAATGATGCACTATTTCCCAGACATAGATAAAAACTTTACTGAGTGTAAAATAAAGCATAAGGAAAGCCATGATTTCCAGATTAAAATTTGTTTATTAACTATGAGTCAGGATCTTTTCTAAAAGCCAACACAATAATTTGTCAGGGCAGAATCCTGAATGAAGGATAAAACCAATCAAGATCCTAGTAGCATTGTGTCATTCTTTCAACAAGTAATTTTTGTGCTTCGCTTACTTCTGAGTAAGTAAGCATTGAGGACAAAAATCAAGCGATGGTCCATGCTATATTTTACGTCTTCTTTGGAAGAGAAGGTTTGTTGAAGACTTTGTTTCTCCTCCGGTACTGAGGATTGAGCCCAGAGCCTTCATAATGAGCTACTCCCACATCCCTTTTTATTTTTCATTTTGAGAATGGGTCTTGCGAAGTCACTAATTTGTTCAGGCTGGGCTCAAATTTGTGATATGTCCTCTTGCCTCAGTCACTGGGATTACAGGCATGTGCCATCCCTTATAACTGAAGTCTTCTGCTTTTTTTGGCATTAGTTGGTCATTGCTATTTGCTTGCTTTTAAAATCAATCAAGGAAAGGATGAAGTAGTCTTTTAAACATATTTAAGGTGATGCTATCTCTTGGCTTACTAGCAGGATGCTAGTTAGACAGTTGGCAAAGCTCTTAATAGACGATAAAACCATCGGAAAGTACTCCCATATTGTAATCAACTATCAAGCCAAAGAAGCCCTACGTCATCAAGAAGAGGTCGGTGGCAGTCTTGGTGGCAGGCAAGTAACAGTGACAAAATAAGGAAGCCAGTGATGGTTATATTTCATTTGAATCCCCTTCTGTGACTCCATCATGGTCAATTTTAAAAACAATACTACTTTCAGGATCAGGCTTTAACAAAAAGAGCATTAACAAAACAGCAAAAACAAAACAAGACAAAAGTCTAACAGGTAATTGTAGTTGTGACTACTAAGCCTTAGAGTTACTGTAACAAAAATTTTTAAATGAGTAAAGCAATTCAGCACAATATTAGAGGTGCCACAACTTGGTAGAATCTTCCCCCAATGGAACAATTTCTAGTTTTTATAGATGCTGTTAGTTGATCAATAATGATTCAGAGGTCTGCAACCACTGCATAAATACCTCAGAGGTGGAAAGCTGCTGGGTAGGCAGCTCAGAGATCGGAAGTTACTAGATGAGTACCTCAGTGGTTGGTAGGTCATCGGGCCATAATTCAGATATCGGTAATTTTTCTTGAAGTAATTTTGAGGGTGATATCTGCTGGCACTGTAACAGGATGGTGAAAATCCACTGGAATTAAAGTCAAGGGGTTGATAGCTCCTATACCCCAAGCCACCAAGTGTGCAGTAGCTTAGAGGTCGGGGACTCTTGGAGAAGTAGTTAAGTTGCCCAAAGCAGTTGGGGCCATTGCCAAGGGTCTGACAGGCCTTAGACGCACATAGAGTGGTCGTGTAGCAAGTGGATACATACCCCTTCGTCTGAGTGCATGAGTTGCAGCTGGGGCAGGATCTGAGGTTGGTAGCTTTGCAGGCAGTAATGACTTGGTCTGATGATGGGGAGTCACAGGGCACACAGGAGTTCTGCAAGTCACAATTTGTAGCACAGGCCTTGGGCTCCCAGCTGGGAGAGTCACAGCTTGGGGCGTCACAGTAGTTTTCTTGACAATGGTCGAGGAGCCAGAGATTTCCTTGATAGCTACTGGGTAAGTGGTGTCCAGTGGTAGAGCTTACATCATTGGAGCAAAAAGCAATGGAAGGAGTCACTGGGATGTAACAGTGAGTTCTATAGGACGAAGCATGGCATAGCTCAGGGTAGCTCAGAAGAGACATGAAGCCCGAGTGCATGCTCCGTGGTAGCCACGCAGGTATGGTATGGCTGTAGGCAGAGGACACTTTATATCTTCCCCGGTGATTGCGTGGAGCCTCTACAAGCCCTCTTCCTTCTCTAGTCCTGGGGCACTGACACAGCAACATCTCATTAGTGCATTGCTTAGACACATTTAGTGACGTCTTCACGCTTATACAAAAATAAGTTTATTTTGATTCTTCAAAGTATCTACCTGTAATTATCACTTTGACCATCACCTAGCATTCATCATCAGCAGACCATAGCTTTGGTGAATAGTGATTTTAATGTTAATGGGCTAACTCTCATCTGTCAATAAGCAGTTGACAAGAGTTCATGTATCTTTGGGCTTCTGAGGCATGGTTATTAAAATGTTAACAAGGATTCACTAAAGCCAGGGACTTGTGTTTTTCTACCTCTTTGACTATGGAAAAACACTATTTGATTTGATGCTACATTCAGAAGTCAGCTGGGCAGTCTCCTCATCTCATTATTGCTCCAAAGAGAGGGCAAGGCTCTGGTGTGTTAATGTACCGATGTGCATTTCCCCAGGTATGTGCTATTCTCTAACCCGTGCCAGGAAAATGATGACAGCTTTTCATCAGATACATTTGGAGAAGTGCATACCTGTGACTCAGAGCAATGCCAGTGAGACTTGATGACCTATAATTGGCTAAAAATGAACTTGTCCCCCTGGGTCAATGGTTGCTAAGCAACCAAGCCTTCTCCAAGACCCCTTTCTTAAAGAGTCAATATACTATGTCATATCAAAGAAATACAGTTTTTCAATATTCTGCCTCCTTAATTGGGTAAGGTTATATACCACGTACTCCTCTGTCCCTGCTGTAAAATGTAAATGCTATCAGATGTATAACATTTTCCCAAAATACCTTTTACTTATTCCTGATTTAATTTCTTTTGCACTTAGATTTCATGCGTTGAAGCTATTTTTGGTTTGCACTAACAAAAGATTATGCTTATGTTTAACATTTTTGATTTGAATAACCTGTGTATTTCCTATAGGCACTGAACATATTAAATAGCACTTCTCACTCCCTGAGGTGAAGTCTGAAGGAAAAAATAAGATTTTAATTTAAACTCAATAATTGACATTTTGTTCTTGAAAATACAAACTCTACTTCGTACCTACAGCCTCCATTGATTGGAAATAGCAATATATGTATTAACAGTGAGGAGTTAGGCACAGGGCAGTGCTGACTTCTTTGGGTTTAGTGAGCTGTAGCTATAGTTTCATAAAGACAGTGTCCTCTTAGGAGACAATTAAGGTTCCCTTGAAGTTTTATGCTTCCTTTAAAAATACAAACTGATTTAAGCGCACAGGCATTCTTCACACATTTTGAGTGGTATATCTTCACACGCATAATAACTGCATTCATCTTGGGAAATTGGTGCATATATGTATCTCATCTTGATCCTCTTTATTTCCTTTACCCTGACCCCTCTCTGCATTCTCCTCTGCCCCTGCCCCTCGTCACCTTCTCATCTCCACAAAGTCCACCCCAAACATTTGCATCTGAATGTTCTTTGTACTTCTTTATTCTAGTCTTTATTCTGTGTGGAGATAATAAGCAACTCTTTATGGAAGTCACTCTGCTGCCTTCTGTAATTTCAAGTGAAAAAGGTCAAGATTAGATCAACATATTTTCATGAAACTGTTTTGCTATAGATATTCTGGGATTTTGTGCAGAAAATTTCAGTCCTGAAGTATTCAAAACAGGAAGGAAGACATGTAAGTTAGTCTATGGACAACTTTCTAGTAAATTATGGCATCCTAGTGATGCATACAAAAGTCCAGATGGTGAAAATACTCTATCTCTGCACATTTCTCTATGATAGCCGTTGTTTCTAGTCATATATTTTAGGTTTCTTTGTAGAATGCTCAAAGAAAACAACAGAATGTGTAAATCAGTCAGCTGCAAAGACAACACCCTCTACTTGCATGTGAGCAGTAAATAACAAGATATTTAAAATCAATATTACTTACACAAGCCTAAGTTACATAAAATAACGGAGAACATCAAATTGCATAAATAATAGCCAAAGCACCAGACTTTATAACATAATGTATTTGCTATGATAACACTCGAAACAATAAAACACTTTGATTTGTAAAGGTATGGCTCATTAAATTTTTCCCATTTTTTTCCATTGGTTGTTGTTTTTTAGTATATATAATACTATAATAATTATAATCATCATAGTAAATTAGTACATACACATATCATATCTTGATCATTTTTAAAGACCTCTGTAATCTATAACTATAGTACTACTCGCTAAAGAGATTGAAGAGGACATTAGAAGATGGAAAGATATCTCACGTCCCTGGATAGGAAGAACCAATGTTGCCAAAGTGGTCATATTGCATATACATGTATATGTGTATATATACACATATACCTGTATATGTGTATATATACATATATGTGTGTGTATATATATATATATGTGTGTGTATATGTATACATATATATGTATATATACACATATACAGGTATATGTGTATATATACATATATGTGTGTGTATATATATATATATGTGTGTGTGTGTATATGTATACATATATATTGCAATTTGTTTTTGTTTTGGTACTGGGGATTGTGTTTGGGTCCTTGTGTTTGTGAGGCAGGCAGTGGAACCACTGTGCTAAATCCCCTGCCCTATATATTGCAATTTTAATCAAAATATCAACAGCATTAATACCTTTCTTCACAGAACTAGAAAAAAAATTCCTATAATTTATGTAGAACCAGAAGAGTCACTTTTTAAAAGCTTTTCACTCTCTCGGAATATCACATTCCTATGTAACCACTTCTCACCCTGATTGACTGCTACTTTTGGTACATGATGCCTCTCAAGAAGCTTTTTTTAAAAAAAACAAAAAACAAAAAACCTATCTTTGGAGGAAGTGAGCCAATAGCATCAGTAACATGGCAATTAGCAAAGTCATAGAGAGGGAAGGCTTTAACAGAAAGGTGGAGCTGATGTCATATGTGTGGCATTGTCCTCTGAAAGCTTTGGACAATCAAGCACACTGCATGATCTTCACCCAGTTACTAAAGATATCTTTTCTTCCATTAACGCCTGTATTTTCAGCATGTGCTATACTTTGAAAGCTGATGAATGGTATTCAGTTCACACATCCAAAATACCCACTTGCAAACACTGGGAACCTATGCATATTACCTGGGGTAGCAAAGGAGGCTTTAAAGATGTATGTAAAGAAGGTAGATTATTTGAATGTGTCTGATGTGAATGAATAAGAGTAAGACAGTAGAAAAGAGAGGACAACAGAATTAAAGTTTAGAGTTAATATGGCCATGGGCTAAGGAACGCTGGTCACTTTTTCAAGCCAGAAGAAGCAGGAACACATTTCCCCCTAGAAACTCCTTGGGGAATCAGCACTGATGACTTCTTATCTTTAGATCAGGGAAGCTGACCTTGGACTTCTGGCCTCTGGAGCTCTAAACGAATACATTCCTATTTTAAGCCATCAGGTTTATAGTAATTTGTTACAGCACTCAGAGGAAATGAATACATTTTATCAGGAAAACATCAGCCAATGTAATAGTCTTGCAGTTTGAGGAGTTTGTGCTCTGCATGCAGGGCAAGCTTAGGATTCAAAGGATAAGCTTTCTCACCATTAGATAATTTAAAGAAATACTTGAGTCATCTGAAGAATAAGAAACAAACTCCCTTTAATGAGTCTATCGGCTCCTTTCAACTCATTAGAGAAGAATTATGGAACACTTTCCCAATTCTATCCAAAGGTTAAAAGTCCTTCAGAGTAAATATAGAACATTAAAGAAAGCTAAATTTTCCAGTAAGAGGCCCTTAAAGAAAATAATGACTGACATTGTCTGACCTTTTAGGTCACAAGAAATTTCAACTTCCTTTTTTTGCCACCATATATGTAATTGTTTTCTAATTCTACTGGCCAAGGTTTTGTTAAATGATGCAAAAATTATCTTACAATTTAAAAGAAAAACTGTATGCAAATCAATATTTTCATAGCAACTGATCTGGAAATATTGTTTCAAATGCTTCTTAAACTTAGCTATTAGAACCTGAAATGGTAGATACCTTTGCTGCATCTACAGTTTTGGTGTCATAGATCATTAGCAGTTTCAAAAGTTAAAGGGAAAATGAGCAAAGTCAGGATTTTAGGGAACAGAATTGAATGTTGACAGCATTTTAAAAATAATAACACAAGTAAATGAAAAGTGAGGATGTTGAGCTTAATAACCCATGCTTCACTTTTCATGTAAACATGGTAAATGTATAATAACAAGCAGTTTTAGAAAGAGTTCAGTATTTTGAGATGGAAAGATAAAGGCTGTGTCTTAAAGAATTATGACTCTCTTTTATTAAGTGGGATTTAAACATGTTTACTAGTGTAGGAAATTCTTTCTCTGTATTTCAGTGCCTTCTTAAGAAAAGCTTGCACTTTGCAGACACATTCTCCATATGGTATGAGAATCTTTTTCTCATTAAGTTTATTGGCACATTTTAGGTATACATTAGGATGATATTCATCATTGGGAATTTGTATCTTTACATGATATATCTTGGTTCTTATTTTTTCCACACTGTCCTGCCCTTCTTTCAACCCCATCCACCCCTCCTTATTTACAAAGACTTTTCTTCTCCAAAACTGAAAACCTTCAATTTAAAATCAGGAACAAGACATGGCTGCCCACTATCACCACTCCTCTTCAACACAGTTCTGGAAACATTAGCCACAGCAATTAGACAAGAGAAAGAAATTAAGGCAATAAAGATAGGAAAGGAAGAAATTAAACTGTCAGCATTTGCTGACTATATGATACTCTACATTGAAGATCCAAAAAATTCCACCAAAAGACTTCTAGACTTAATCGACACTTTTAGCAGAGTAGATGGATACAAGGTCAACACTCAAAAATCAGTAGTCTTCTTGTACACAAATGACAGACTCACTGAGAGAGAAATTAGGG